CTGTATGACTGTTGTTAGTATACCTGAGTGTTTATGCTTGCAAAATATGTATGTTGTTTTTGCCTATTTTGTCATGTAAAGTGGTCTGTGAAGTGTTCTGTTGTGTGTATTTTTATGTTTCTCAAATAAATCTTCATGTAAATAAGTATCTTTTTTTTTTTTTTTTTTTGAGACAAGGTCTTGCTCTGTCACCGAGGCTGGAGTACAGTGGCACGATCTTGGTTCACTGCAACCTCCGCCTCCTGGGTTTAAGCAGTTCTCCTGCCTCAGCATCTCAAGTAGCTGGGATTATAGGCACCTGCCACCACGCCTGGTTAATATTTGTATTTTTAGTAGAAACAAAGTTTCACCATGTTTGTCAGACTGGTCTCGAACTCCTGACCTCAAGTAATCCACCCTCCTTGGCCTCCCAAAGTGCTGGGACTACAGGCGTGAGCCACTGTGTCTGGCCGTAAATAAATATCTTTAAAAATTTTTTTTAAATTCTTTTTTCACAGGCACAGTGGCTCATGCCGTTAATCCCAGCACTTTGGGAGGCTGAGGCAAGCAGATTACCTGAGGTCAGGAGTTTGAGACCAGCCTGGCAACGTGGCGAAACGCCATCTCTACCAAAAATACAAAAATTAGCCATGCATGGTGGCGGATGCCTGTGGTGGTGGATGCCTGTAATCCCAGCTACTCGAGAGGCTAAGGCAGAAGAATCGCTCAAACCCAGGAGGCAGATGTTGAAGTGAGCTGAGATTGCACCATTGTACTCCAGCCTGGGTGACAGAGCAAGACTCCATCTCAAAAAAAAAAAAAAAAAAAAAAAATTATTTTTTCCAGAATTATATTTTTGGGATTTTGATCTTTCGGGATTCAACACTCAGGATTATGCTATTGAGGATTGTGTCTTTTGGGATTATGATTGGCTCCTGTCTTAATTATTCCTTCCTAAATGTGGCAAAGAGATCATATCAGTGGAGATGCCCAGAACACTGAATCTGGGTACTTATCACAGCTGGGTAGGAAACTTGGAATTGCCATAGCTCTATGGTTAAAGATTACAAGGTCAGATTAAGCGCCAAAAAGAGTGCTTAAAAATGTTAATGGTTCACTTTTTTTTTTTTTTTTTTTTGAGATGAATCTCTCTCTGTCACCCAGGCTAGAGTGCAATGGCATGATCCTGGCTCACTGCAACCTCCGCCTCCTGGGTTCAAGCAATTCTCCTGCCTCAGCCTCCTGAGTAGCTGGGATTACAGGCGCCCACCACCGCACCCAGCTAATTTTTGTATTTTTAGTAGAGACAGGGTTTTGCCATATTGGCCAGGCTGGTCTGGTTTCAGACTCCTGACCTCAGCCTCAGCCTCCTCAGCCTACCTCAGCCTCCCGAAGTGCTGGGATTACAGGCATGAGCCACCGCGCCCGGCCACTTTTCATATTTTATATGTTGCATCATTTGCTTCTTTCATTAATTAACAAGCATTTGTTGAGCATTTATTGTGTCAAGTATTTCCCATTGTTCATATTCTTCTAAGAGCAGCTTTTTACAGTCTTTATTTCTTAGGCATTTTGAGGTACATTGCCAAAGTGCTTGTAATAGTGGTATTCTGTGCTTCCTACTCAAAATGTGCAGAGTGGGCCAGCAGCATTGGCAACATCTTAATAGAATTGTAGACCCCATTCCAGACCTATTGATTCAGACCCCTTATAGTAAAGACCTCCTCATGGGAATTGTAACAGGCTACCTTGTTTACTCAGCCATCACTCTCAACTCCTCATGGGAGGGAATGTGCGGGTGAATGAGGTGGGAACTGGAGTGCACAAGCGCTGGAACCAGCTAGCTGCTTTGGTGCTGGCAGGACCCAAGGCTGTGCGGGCCCTGCGGCAATATCCAAGAGGTGGTATCTGCATCCCTTGAAGCCCCAGAGGGCGTGTTACAGTGCTCTTTTAACTTTTACATCTGCAGACAGCTTAAGTGTTAGCAGCTCAGTGTGCCCTTTGCCATTTTGAGTGAGGAGCTGCCCTCTCTTGAAAAGGCAAAGGGCCCACTGAGCTGATAACGGTGTGACAGCCTCTTGTATATGCACATGTGGCTCCCATGCTCTTGTCCGGCATCCAGGAAAAATGAGGTCACAGAAATGAATTGAAGGATGGTAAATACAGGGGATTTTATTGCCAGTGAAAGTGGCTCTCAGCGGGAAGGGGAGCTGAAAAGGGACTGGGAGTCGTTAATCTTCCCCTGAAGTAAAACTATCTCCAGCCAGATTCTTCTCTGAAGTTATACCATCAAGCTATCCCTCCAAAGTCAAGCTGCTTCTCTTTGACATCCAGCCATAGTCCCTAACGTCCAGCTGCTTCTCCTCTCTGCCTGCCGAGTCTGGGGTTTTTATAGGCACAAAATGGGGTAAGGTGGGGCCATGAATGGTTTGGGAAAAGGCAACATTCCGGCAGGAAAATGGGGATATAAGTTCTCACTTTGGGCTGCAGTTTCAGGCTTTTCTGCTTGAGGGTGGGATTTCGTCAGAGACGCGTCCTTTTCTGCCTAGAATTTCTCTGCCCCGCTGTCTTTATCAATAGTGATTTGCCACCTACTAGCAGCATGACCCAGGGGGAAGTTATTCTCTGAGTTTCAGTTTCCTCAGCTATAAGATTACTGATTCCTCTTTCCTTATAGGATTGTTGAAAGGCTTAATTGAGATAACGTAGATAATACCTGACATGGGGCCCAGCACAGAAACAGTACCCAATACGCATTTGCTTCTTTCCCTTTTCACTGCTTTGTTCCATGTGTATACAATTATTCTAGGTTTAGCTCATACTTTAAATAAAAATTTTTTGAATTTTTCTTTCATTTTACTGGTTAAAGTTGAAACAAGAATGTAAACTCCATGATGACATAGACCTTGGCTGTTTTGTTTACTGTTATGTGTCTAGCACCTAGCATGAGTCCTGTGCTAGGTGCCTGATAAGAATTTGTTAAATGAATCAATTAGTATCATGCATTTGAAGTAAATTTACTTGAGTAAATTTATAGAATGCCTTTGCAGTTTATATTTGTCAGATGTATTCAGTGAAATCAATTTATTTTTTAAAAACGTAGTGTTTTTGTTTTTTTTTTTGAGACAAGGTCTTGTTCTGTCACCTACGTTGGCATGGAGTGGCATGATCATGGCTCACTGTAGCATCAGCCTCCTGGATTCAAGTGATTCTCCTGCCTCAGCTTCCCAAATAGCTGGAACTACAGGCACATGCCACCCATGCCTGGCTAATTTTAAAATTTTTTAATAAATACAATGTCTTGCTATGTTACCCAAGCTAGTCTTGAACTCCTGAGCTCAAGTGGTCCTCCTGCCTCAATCTCCCAAAGTTTTGGGATTACAGGCATGAGCCACCATGCCCAGCCCCCAAAAACTTTTATTAATACCTATTTGTCGAATACTATTCTAGACATTGGGTATACACTGATTAAAAAAATAAAAGTGGTCAAGGTTTGTGTCCTTGTGGAACTTACATTTTAGCTGGAGAGAGGGAAGAAGGACAATAAACTGGTAAACAAATATGTTAACAAAATAATTGCAGATAATAAGTGCAGTAGTCCTGTGAGGGTTTCTGGGGGCCTGAAGGCCACTACTTTTAGCTAGGTTATGTGGGGAGGCCTGGTAAGTTATAAGACAGTAATGATATGAAGGAGACTAGCCTTCAAATAGCCATGAGAAGAGCATTGTAAATAGAACAGCACGTGTGAAGGGCCTGAGGAGGGAATGAGCTAAATATACTTTATTCATTCATTCAGATTGTTAACATCCAAATAAAGTTACTTCCTTAGGCTGGTCCAGTGCAATGGTGCTTACAACTAATTGATCACAACCAGTTACAGATTTCTTTGTTTCTTTTTGACTCCCACTGCTTCACTTCGCTAGCCTTAATTTTTTAAAAATTACTTTATTTAAATAATACAGAGAATATGAGAAGACAATGTAAATGCTGCTTTGTGAGTGATGGGGAGGAAGTGCTTTTAATTATGGCAATGAATCAAAGCATAAGATCATCAATAGTAGACTTCATTGCCCAGTGCTTTCAAAGTCCCCACATGTGTTGGTTATTCTTTAGTAAAATAGGTGAGACAATGCTTGTTGGCTGTTATTGTGAGGCTTGACTGATAATACTGGGATTTTGAGATCAAGAGGCTAGAGGCCAAGAAGTTTGAAATATGTAAGGTCAACTGCCTGCTTTCTTCTCCTTCCCAATGAGTGAATCAACACTTCCTAAGTTTTTCTTCTCTATCTCACTTCTCTATTGTTAGTTTCACTTCCTACTCTTAAAAATGCTGAGCTTTCAAAATCATATTTATCAGGAGGAAAAAGAGACTGAAAAGTTTAAAATGGGATACCTCTGAGAGATGATGTAATTTGGAATTATAACATGAAAACCTAAGGAAATTTTTTGCAGTTATTTCAGCTGTATACTTGTCATTGCTGTTGCCTAGTCTTACAAGAAACTGTCAGAATTTTACTTTTGCAATTTAATAGAGAAGTCTCTGCATTCCAAGAAATGTAAAGAAAAAGAACAATAAAGACTTGGGGAACTTTTAAATTTCATCGTCTCTTGAGGTGTAGAAAATTTTTCAGGGAATAATTCCTGCAAATCCTATACCTTCAGATTGATACCCTCAAAGGACACTAAACACAATCCTTTTTAAAGGAAGGATAAAACTGTATTTACTATATACAGTTCTGAGCATTGGATTTAATATGTGATGCATTTCACTAAGGTAGCCTTAGTGGGTACTATTTTAAACTACTTTCTCTATATGCATTATCTTTAGTGACTCAAGACATTAATATTTTATTCAGGATGTGTAGATATTTTTGTACTTTAATGGAAAACCTCATGTTTAATGGGTTGGAATTCTGTTTGTTGGCAATTGAATACCTAAGTATATTAATTTTTTAGGGTTTAGGGTTTTGCCAACAGTAATGTGTTTTGCTTATAAGAGCCTCCTTTTTCTGTCTTCTTAGCAACATCATGACAACAGAGAAGAGTTTAGTGGCTGAGGCCGAAAACTCACAGCACCAACAAAAGGAGGAGGGCGAGGGAGCCATAAACTCAGGCCAACAAGAACCTCAGCAGGAGGAATCTTCTCAAACAGCAGCTGAAGGAGATAATCAGTGTGAACAGAAGCTAAAAGCTTCTAATGGAGACACTCCTACACATGAAGACTTGACCAAGCACAAGGAGCGGACATCAGAAAGCAGAGGCCTTTCACGACTGTTCTCCTCGTTTCTTAAAAGGCCCAAATCTCAGGTGTCCGAGGAAGAAGGCAAAGAAGTAGAGTCAGATAAAGAAAAAGGTGAAGGAGGTCAGAAAGACATAGAATTTGGAACCAGTCTTGATGAAGAGATCATTTTAAAGGCCCCAATTGCAGCTCCTGAACCTGAACTCAAAACAGACCCATCTTTGGATCTTCATTCATTAAGCAGTGCCGAAACACAGGTAAAGATATGTGGATATGGGAGGTGGGCATAAAGAAGGCAGGTTATACACTTTATTTTTCATTTAAGAGTATTTGGTTTTATTTCTTACTAGTCGACTTAGGCATTGATAGTGATAAGTAACATGAAGCTTTATGGTTTCTACTCTTTTTTTTTGAATCTTGCTCCGTTACCCAGGCTGGAGTGCAGTGGCATGGTCACGGTTCACTGTAACCTCCACCTCCTAGGTTCAAGCTATTCTCCTGCCTCAGCCTCCTGAGTAGCTGGAATTACAGGCGCTGGCTGCTAATGCCCAGCTGATTTTTGTATTTTTAGTGGAGATAGGGTTTTGCTGTGTTGGCCATGCTGGTCACAAACTCCTGACATCAGGTGATCTGTCCACCTCAGCCTCCCAAAGTGCTGGGATTACAGGCATGAGCCACCATGCCCAGCCTATAGTTTCTACTCTAAAGAAATTAATGTAGTCATTGGAAACTTACTTTTTAAAAAGATACTTACATGTTATATATTTATGTAAAGGGTCTTGCTATTTTGCCCAGGCTAATCTAATATCAAACTCTTGGGTGAGAGTGATCCTCCTGCCTCAGCCTCCTGAGCAGCTGGCATTACAGGTGTACACCCCCATGCCTGTCTGTTTACTCTTTATAAATCAAAGAACAGAAAAGGAAAAAAAAGTATCAAATTAGTGTGTTCAGCCCATGTATCATTTTATTATAATAATGGAACAAATTGAAGATTTTTCATGAGAGAGGAAAAGAAAATAAGGTGGTTTAGAGTTCATTTATGTGGAATTAATAGGAACAGGATAGTTATCAGCAGATATGGCTCTTTTACATAAATCTTCCTAAAAGTTGTGTGATGAATTCAAGCCATCTGGAGGATGTGATAGATTTGAGTCATGTCCGCCTTATTTCGGTCATCTTCTTTGTTAGATCGTATTACCACAGAGTGTAGATATAAATGAGGAAGGCTAGTTCTTTCTATTACCTGTGTAATGTATATTAGTCTGGGGCCTTAATTGTGCATAGCATTGTTAAGCTAAACACAAGTTGTGAGTCTGTTTATTTGTCCAAAAAAAAAATGGGAAAACATTAGTGCTGTAACTCAGACTGTTTTCTAAGAATCTCATTCATTTTCAGCCTTACTATTACAAATTAAGAATTATTTTCAAAGTCTTCTTATTTCTGAAGCATGTGAACATTATCTGTGTTGTTAAAAGTATAAGTCCTTTTAGAACTCTGACAGTGTTAGGATAAAAAGTGTAAGTCCTGCATGTTTCTATTATAGGTCTGAGATTTGGACTCCATAGTTTTTTTAGAGTCTTATTAGAATATTACATGTATTTCTAGAACTATTACTTGTATATTCAAAGTGCTAAGGGTAAAATTTTGGATAAAATTATAATTACACACTTGCTATTAGTGAAACAAGGTTGAAAGCAAGATTTAGAGGGTTTAAATCGAAGAGAAGTGACACTTTTCACTATCAGTTTCCTTCTCTGTACAATGGGGATAATAATATTCACCTCCTTTGGGACTGAAAGGATTAAAAGAAAGAAATGAGTGAAGCTCTTAAAACATTGCCTGGCATTTAATAAGTACTCAATGAATGTTAGCTAGTAAATAATGTTAGCTAATAAAGGCAAAGAAACCATACTTATCTTAATATCATTTTATTTTAGGAATACCAAAAGAATTAAATTATCTTTCAAGGAAGCCTGGTACTTTCAAGAGTTTTTAAAATTCCCTCCTTCCCTCCCTATCTCCCTTCTTCCTTTCCTCCCTCCCTACCTCCTTTCCTCCCTCCCCTTATTTATTTATATTCTTCTTTTTTTCTTTCTTGACAGGATCTCTCTCTGTCACCCAGACTAGAATACAGTGGCACAATCATGGCTCACTACAGCGCCAGCCTCCTGGGCTCAAGCTGTTCTCCCATCTCAGCCTCCTGAGTAGTTGGGACTACAGGTGCACACCACCATGCCCAGCTAATTTTTAAAATTTTTTTGCAGAGACAGTCTTGCTTTGTTGCCCAGGCTCGTCTCGAACTCTGAACTCAAGCAATTCTCCTGCCTCAGCCTTTCCAAGTGCTGAGATTAGAGGTGTGCACCACTGTGCCTGTCCTCAAGGGGTTTTTAACTGCTTTTTTCTCCTTCAGCTTTATATAGGGGAAAATCCATATCTTGTTTTAGTTAACATTTGAATTAGAACTTGTCTGTATTGTCTAAATGTCATAGATTTGTACTCAAGCTGACATAGATGATGGACAACGTTAATTTTAGATTTAACTGAAATCTCATTCATTAAGATTTAATTCAGAATTGAATAAATTGTCCATGGGTGTTTGTCTTCATGTAGAGAAAAAGAAACGATATTGTTAATAAAATTTCAAAGAGATATTATTTAAAGTAATAAATTATTTTAGGCCTTTTGGAAACTAATATTTATAGTCAAAACCTTGTAGATCAGAGCCTTCTATATAAATGTATATATATTTATATTATATTTAAGTATATAATATATATAAATATAGGATTATATCAGTCTTCATCTAGAGGAGCTTGGATTTTTTTTTGGAAGCCTATATACATTTTTAATGTTTGTTTATTCATTCAACAAATATTTACTGAAAACCTACCATTTGTGCTAGGCCTTAGGCAGAATGTACCTTGGTAAATAAAAACCAATAAGGTAAAGAGGTTTAAAATCATGGATTTTGGGGCCGAGCATGGTGGCTTATGCCTGTAAGTCCAGCACCCTGGGAGACTAAGGCAGGAGGATCATTAGAGCCCAGGAGTTTGAGACCAACCTGGGCAACATGGAGAAACACCATCTCTACAAAAAATAAAAAAACTAGCTAGGCATGGTGGCTTGCCTGTAGTCCCAGCTACCTGGGATGCTGAGGTGGGAGGATCACTTGAGTCTGAGAGGTTAAGGCTGCTTTGAGCCATGATTATGTCACTGCACTCCAGCCTGGGTGACAGAGTGAGACTGTCTCAAAAAAACAAAAACAAAAATTATGGATTCTGAAGCCAGACTGGTATGTGACTTATTAATTGTATGATCCTAGACAAGTTACTTTCTCTGGCATCAGTTTTACAACCTTGTGGGGCAGGTGCTATTATCTTCCCTCTGTCAAATGGGTATATAGTAACAGTACCTGCCTCACGGGATAGTTACAAGGATTGAGTTCCTATAAGTAATTTTCTTAGAATAGTAACTGGTCCATTGTAATTGTTTTGTTTAAATGTTTGGTATTATTATTATTATAAAACAGACATGATTTCTACCCTTGTGGACTTTAATGTAGGAAACAAAAGTAGTAAATAAAAATAATTATTTATTGTAATAAGTTTTGAAGCCACCAGAGTACTGATATGAAAGAGAGTAGAGTGGGCATAGATAGGATAGCCCTATGAAGGGCCTCCTCGAGGTTGCAGTGAAAGGGTCTGTGAGAGATAGGAAGGAGTCTTTTAGATTACTTCCAGTATTTAATGCAAGAGTCAAATAATTTAATCTTTTTTTCTAATTGTCAACCATATATTCTTTAAAAAAAATTTTTCCCCAACTGTTACCCAAAGAAATAACATATTCTTTTAAAAGAAAAGAATTAGTGGGAGTTAGTTAAAAATTTGTCAGTGGTTTTGTTGTGTTGAAAGTAAAAGTAAAAATGTACACCAGAAATGTTGTCCTACCCATCGGTGTTATTTCAGGATGATTTAACATTGCACCAGGGGACTCTTTGTTCATTGAATCTTCTTTGCATTTAACATTATTAATATTGGGTAGAAAGGTGTTAACTGGTAGTTAAAATTTTTAGCCTACTACATGTATTTGCTTAATGATATAAAATTGGTCCTAAGCATTTGTCTTAGAATTAAAATTAATTTAAAATTTAGAATATGTAACAAATCACAACTTATTTTGCAGTTTATAAGGCTACCTTGCTAAAATTGAGGAGCATGGGACAGAGACAATAATGTTTTGTTAAACTTTAATAATAGCATTTAATATCATGGTCAGGAAGAATATATAATGCTAAGAGCAATAGATTGGTGTCCTCTGGTTTACCTGAAACCTTCATTTATTGACTTGATGGGATTCTACCTGAGAAGGTTTTGTTTTGTTTTGTTTTGAGATGGAGTCTTGCTCTGTCGCCAGGCTGGAGTGCAGTGGTGTAATCTCAGCTCACTGTAACCTCCACCTCCTGGGTTCAAGTGATTCTCCTGTCTCAGCCTCCTAAGTAGCTGGTACTACAGGTGCACACCACCACACCCAGCTAATGTTTTGTATTTTTAGTAGAGAGGGGTTTTACCTTGTTGGCCAAGATGGTCTCAATCTCTTGACCTCGTGATCTGACTGCCCAAAGTGCTGGGATTACAGCATGAACCACCATACTTGGCTAAGAAGTTTTAATAATAGCAAAGTCTGTCATCATATGGAGGATAATATTTTTTATAGAAAAATAATTACTTAATATTTATGTCACCTATATCTGTTTTAATAGTTTTTCTTTAGTTCATGCTTTCATTGGTAAGATTATTATAGGTAAGAGCATATATGATATGTTTTGTGAAATGTCTTTATTACTGACTTGGTGATGTCATGGATATGTAGCCTGCTCAGGAAGATCTCAGAGAAGATCCAGATTTTGAAATTAAGGAAGGAGAAGAACTTGAAGAGTGCTCCAAAATAGAAGTAAAAGAAGAAAGCCCTGAATCAAAAGCAGAAAGAGAATTAAAAGCTTCCCAGAAATCAATCAGAAAACACAGGAACATGCACTGCAAGGTTTCTTTGTTGGATGACACAGTTTATGAATGTGTTGTGGAGGTGAGTACATTTTCATTTCCACCAATCAGAACTCTTACGGGTTGTTTCATCTAGAGTTGGGTAGTTGTGATTTTGCCCGTGATAAGACTCACTCTAATGATTATTTCTTTTTTTTTTGTTTTTTTCGAGACAGAGTCTCACTCTGTCACCCAGGCTGGAGTGCAGTGGCCCAATTTTGGCTCACTGTAGCCTCTAAATCCCATGTTCAAGCAATTTTCCTGTCTCAGCCTCCCAAATATCTGGGATTACAGCCGTGTGCCACCACACCCGGCTAATTTTTTGTATTTTTAATAGAGACAGGGTTTCACTATTTTGGCCAGGCTAGTCTTGAACTCCTGGCCTCAAGTGATCTGCCCACCTTGGCCTCCCAAATTGCTGGGATTACAGGCATGAGCACTGCACCCGGCTTCTAATGTTATTACTGTGGATGGAAGTATTAATGATGATTTTCTGGAGGTAGGGTTATGGGAAGATTATGAGTAAGTCTTTAAGCCCAGTAGATGCCATTTCTTAAAATTTTCTATTATTTTCTGAAAGAATAAGTGATCGATTCAGGATTGAAGAATAATATCTGAGTTATTCAGTTACTCTTTTGCTCCTTCAGGGCAAATTGAAATTTTTAAAAAATTATATATTTTTCACACTAGAACAGTAGTTGTTCATTATGGTATGCATCATATATAAGCAATTGTTGTAATTGTTAGTGGTGACAGCTTTTATTGACAAAGCGTATAATTCACATATATGTGCAACAAATTATTTCATTTATTTATTTATGTTTTTGAGACAGGGTCTTGCTCTGTTGCCCAGGTTGAAGTGCAGTGGTGCAGTGATAGCTCACTGCAGCCTCAACTTCCTGGGCTCAGGTGATCCTCCCACCTCAGCCTCCTAAGTAGCTGGGACTACAGGCACACACCACAACACCTGGCTATTTTTTTTTTTTTATTTTTGCAGAGTCAAGGTCTCACCATGTTGGCCAGGTCATTCTCAAACTCCCAGGCTCAAGCAATCCACCTGCCTCAGCCTCCCAAAGTGCTGAGATTATAGGCATGAGCCACTGCACCCAGCCTTATTTCTTAATCATATTATTTATGTGAAAATACAAATATGTTCAAGTACAAATCATCTAAAATATTATGCTATATTGACTAATAGGTATTCTCTAAGTTTTAAAAGTGAAATCAAGAAAGATATAATTATACTTTGAAACAGGTACTATACACCTAACTAGAGACTTAGGGTCTGCCTTTTTCTGCTTCTTGCACTAATTTAGAGATGGGGAAAGCTACTTTACACTCATTCTTCCCATTCAGACCTAGATCCACATATGAGTCTCTTACATATGAAGCCCTTGGGGACAGATGTGATTTAGAATTCAGAATATTTTGGATTTTAGCAAGGCAATAAGTATATATCCTGCATATTTTATAATATACACAGCAGTGTCTGTAGTAGCACCCACATGATCAAACAGTATTTCTATGGCAAAATATATGAAGATTCATTGTAAGGTGGATAAATGAAGATTATAGTCTCTTTACAGTTCAAATCAAAATTTGCCATCTGGATTTTAATTATGAATAAGAGATTAGGGACCTATACATGAAGCATTTTCAAATCTTCGTCTGCCATTTAGAATGAAAACATGGGAGAAAAAGAAAGAAAAAATGATTTGATATGAATGAGTTAAGACTGACAATGAATGAACATTTATGTGAATTACTAATAGTCATTAAAAAAACTCATCTCATTGAGAGGAAGACATGTCATATGTGTGTGCCCAAAAAGTGATTCTAATTTTTTGAAGTATTTTTGTATATATTTCTCAGAAGTCATTTATATATTTGATTATTTTTAAACAATTCAAATTCTCATTTTCTTTGGGACATTTGGTCTGAAAATGATAGAGTCTAATGATTTCCACAGCCACAATTAAATGTCGCTCTGGACAGTTGATTCAGTAATTCAGGTAGTCACAGTGACTGACAGTTGCCCATAGCATACTCAGGAAATATTGCACCCAAAATAAAGAATGTGATGTGTAGGATGGAGATGGGGAAGATGAGATGGAAGGAAGGCAGAATTTTGCTTTGAATTATAACACAGTTTCCAAACTAGTATAAGTATATTACAACTAACAAATTGAATAAAGGAATTTTGTAAATCATATTTTCTGCTTAAACTATGTAGCCACCTGTAAGTTTATTGGTAACCAAAGATAAAAGAAGAAATTGGAAAGTGACAGTTTATTTTATTTCATGATGAATATAAAAATAAGAAACTGCAGGCGAGGTGCACTGGCTCACACCTGTAATCCCAGCACGTTGGAAAGGCTGAGGTGGGGGGATCACTTGAGCCTGGGAGTTCAAGACCAGCCCGGGTGACGTAATGTGACTCTGTCTACAAAAAATTTTGAAAATTAGGCATGGTGGTGCACATCTGTAGTCCTAGCTACTCTGGAGGCTGAGGTGGGAAGATCACTTGAGCCCAGGAGATTGAGGCTGCAGTGAGCTATGATCAGGCCACTGCACTCCAGCCTGGGCAACAGAGTGAAACCCTATCTCTTTTGGGAATTAAAGAAAAAAAAAAAAGAAGAAGAAAAAGAAACCTCAACTCAACTGAGACACACATGTATCTTTGCAGAAACATGCTAAGGGACAAGATTTGCTTAAACGAGTATGTGAGCATCTCAATCTTTTGGAAGAAGACTATTTTGGTCTAGCCATTTGGGATAACGCAACCTCTAAGGTGAGGAGACTGCTTGCAATTTAAGAAACTGACAAAAAATTTGTTTTAATTCTTGTTATTAAGAATGTATTTATACCTACTTCTTTAAGCCAGTGTTCTTAGAATTATTCCTGTCTATTCTTATTTCTTAGATTTTTCTGCTATTTTTCTTCTAGAATTAATTTTTCTGCTATTTTTCTTTTAAAGAAAAGACCACTGCTATGCATTCTTTCATCACTGAAATAAAGTATGTATTGTATGTTTTTAAAAGGCATGGAAAGTAAAGATGTATGATGCACTGATTAGCAAGAACAGTAGATGTCAATAACTTCATATATTATGTAATTGATATTATATCTAATGCATAGGAGGTTCATAACAAACACTTGTTGGGTGGATGATCTGTTATTAATATTATAATGACCATATCATAATTAAACAGAATTATGATATATAATTATAATTTGAAAGCAACATTGTGGAACAGAATAAAATCCCAATATTATTGAAACAGCCTTAATGATGATCTGAAATTTTTTCCGAAAGGAAACCAGTTGTTAACTTTTAAAGGAAGTAAAAGAATGGGTATGGACATGGAGGAGGGAAGAAAGGTTAAAAGTCAGGTATTTACCTTAGAACACTTGAATTATTTCCTGGCCAATTAATTGAAAATTGCAAATATTTAACATGAATCTGATGATAAAAGCTTTAGTGCAGTTTAACAAGTATTTGCAGGTGCTATACTAGATGATATGGATGCAGCTGTAAATAAGGTATACATGGTTCCTGCCCTCTGGAGCTTCCAGTGTATTATGAAGACAAATACTGGTTTGATGAGTGTTATAGAAAAGGAAATACAGGTTGTCAGGGGAGAGTATGGCCTGGGAAGTCTCCTCTGGGAAGGTGATGCCTAAGCTGAGGGAGACCTGAAGGATAAAATGGGCAAGTGAGGTGGACAGAATGGCTTACGCAAGACCTGGAGTTGAGAGAGCAACATTTCAGGAACTGAAAGCCATCTGGTCTGTCTGAACATAGGGTATGAGGAATAGAGTAACGGTGAATCTGGAGAGGTATACCTCCAGGTTGGGGGATGGGTATAAAGTGGGGGATCCTGGAGAGAGTCTTGTCAACACTGAATTTAAGCTGTTTAAGTTCATCCTTTCTCCAAGATGATTTCGGTTTATTAAGAAAAATTGAGGGCAGCAGCCTTTAACATCTGCAAACTCTGTAGATTAGGTTGTGTGAGTTAGATAATGAAAACTAGGAGACATAGAATTATCCTTTTTCTAAACAAAATGTATTTGTAGAATATACCTAGTAGTTTATAAAAATGTGTTCCTTCTGTGAATGACTACTAACTCAAACAGAACTATGTTTGAGCACTATGTTAATATTATTCTTTAAGGACTTACCCTTTACTTTGTCTCCCTTAGGGCTCAAACCAACTTAGCTGGTAAACATAGCTAATATTTGACTACTGTACATTTCAATATCATGAAGAGAGTAAATCTCAAATGTTTTCATCACATAAAAGGACAAATACTTGTGGTGATGGATAGTTTGATTCATTTTATTTAATCATTTCACACTGTGTTAAAAAAGTCATATCACTTTCTGTCCCATAAATATATACAACTATAATTTTTCAGTGTATAATTTTGAAAAGTCTAGCCTGAATTGAAACCACTATTTCCCATTAGTAAGGGAACATTGAAGTTAATTTAAAAACAAAACAGTTCTCTCAAAACTGCAGTGAAAAACTTTCCACAACTGTGAGCTAGAAAATTATCCCATGAATCAAGGGAAATACTCTGAAAAGTGTTATTATATAAGTTTATGAGATAATTTTGATTTCCAAAAATTAATAGTTACATCATGGAGAATAAAACAACCAAGATTGATTTGAGAAAAATTAAGAATCCCTTAATTTGGCATGTAAAGTCACTGAGTACCTACATGTTTAATATGGCTGGAAATATTTTTTCTGTGATCCAAGCATACTTACATTTCTAGAAGCTGGCTCATCTAAAGCCATGTAGCAGAGGAAATCATTTACACTTACAGTTGAGCTTCTAGGGCCCATGTTGGGACAAAAATTTTTAGTTACACTGAAAACTTTTCATCATTGTTGGTGTGATTTATATTCTGTCCTGTCACCAAGTTTATTTTCTTTATAGTGGTTTTCACTTTTTTTTTTTTTTTTTTTTGAGACAGGGTCTCACTCTGTTGCCTATGCTGGAGTGCAGTGGCACGATCTTGGCTCGCTGCAGTCTGTGCCTCCCGGGTTCAAGCAATCTTCCTACCCGAGCCTTCCAAGTAGCTGGGACCACAGGCATGCACCACTAGGCTTAGCCAGTTTTTAAATTTTTATATTTTGTAGAGATAGGCTTTCACTATGTTGCCCAGGCTGGTCTTGAACTCCTGGGCTCAAACAATTCTCCTGCCTCAGCCTCCCAAAGTGCTAAATTACAGATATAAGCCACTGTGCCTTGCCACTATTGTAATTAGTTTGTTTTTGCTTTTGTTTTGAGATGGAGTTTCACTCTTGTCACCAAGGCTGGAGTGTAATGGCATCATCTCGGCTCACTGCAACCACCTCCTGGGTTCAAGCGATTCTCCTGCCTCAGCCTCCCAAGTAGCTGGGATTACAGGCATGCACTACCACACCCAGCTAATTTTTTTTATTTTTAGTAGAGACTGGGTTTTACCACGTTGGCCAGGCTGGTCTTGAACTCCTGACCTCAGACGATTCACCACCTTGGCCTCCCAAAGTGCTGGGATTACAGGTGTGAGCTACCATGCCTAACTGTAATTAGTTTTTAATGAGCAAATGTTAAATTGCTTTATGTGTAAAGTGTTATTAAAAGTCCTTAATATATATTTATGTATTTATGTGTAAAGTGTTGTTAAAAGTGCTTAATATAAAAGCTTAATAACAAAGTACAAACCTGGCTGTGTAAGAAAAGGGCATTATTGTCCCTCGTAAGTATTTTTGGAAAAGAAAAGTTGGTACCTCTGAATCATAATCTGGTCTCAACTTTCCTGATAGTTTATAAGAGCTCCTACTGGGGACTCAGAGCGGAAGTGAATCCTGGGAAAAATAGGCCTTATCCTAGTCAGGGCATCAGCAGGCCTGTATGGACCAGGTTCTTATAGGATATCCAGCGGGAACATCATCAAAGGGAATGGACTACTCTGTATTTTGTGCTTCTAAGTTAATCATGGTCAACCTACAGCTCAGAGGTAGGTTAAAACAGAGTGGTTTTTTGGATTAAAATGAGAGTCTTTAGCTGATCTAAGAAGCAAAGCATGGAAGGGAAAATAGGAACTTCATTAGCACATGGCCCTGGTACATCTTGTACAAAAATGAATCTGGGGAAGATTTACCTTAGGATTGTCAGGTTAAAGGGTCAATACAGTAACAAAAGCACCTTAGTGATGGCAAGCCTTCCTTAATATGCTGTCTCTTGGCTGGGTGCAGTGACTCATGCCTGTAATCCCAGCACTTTGAGAGGCTGAGCTGGGTGGATCACCTGAGGTCGGGAGTTCGTGACCAGCCTGGCCAACATGGGGAAACCTCGTCTCTACTACAAATACAAGAATTAGCCAGGCATGGTGGCAGATGCTTGTAATCCTAGCTACTTGGGAGGCTAAGACACAAGAATCGCTTGAACCCAGGAGGCAGAGGTTGCAGTGAGCCAAGATCGCCCCATTGCACTCCAGCCTGGGCAGCAAAACGAGACTTCCTCTTCAAAAAAAGGCCAGGTCTGGTGGCTCATGCCTGTAATCCCAGCACTTTGGGAGGCTGAGGTGGGGAGGGGATCACGAGATCAGGAGTTGTTCAAGACCAGCCTGGTCAAGATGGTGAAACCCTGTCCCTACTAAAAATACAAAAAATTAGCCAGGCATGGTGGTGGGTGCCTGTAATCCCAGCAACTCGGAAGGCTGAGGCAGAGAATTGCTTAAACCTGGAAGGCGAGGTTGCAGTGAGCCAAGACCGCACCACTGCACTCCAGCTTGGGTGACAGAGCGAGACTCTGTCTCAAAGAAAAAAAAAATTGTCTCTCTTAAGTCTAGTCTGGATGGGTATCAAGCTCTGTTTTGTACACAGCTGTTCCTGGTATCTCCCATCACTATCATCCTGGGATGTGCTTTGCCTCTTTCCTGTGATGTTTCTCCTGTTTTCTTTATCTTAGCTTTTACTCGTGTTTTGATAGAGTGCTATATGGGATGTAATCTGTTTTGAGATATGACATGTCTGAAAAGATGGCTTTATTCTGCCTTCACATTTGATTGTGAATTTTATTAGGTATAGCTTTTCTTTTTCTTTTGCCTTCAGAATTTTGAAGGCATTGCTTCATTGTCTTCTAGCTTCCAGTGTTGCTCTTGAAAAGGCCAGAGCCATTTTGTTTTTTGATCCTTTGTATGACTTTTGTTCATCTCCCTCCTCCTGTATACAATTAGACAAGTGTGATCTTTTCTTTTTTCTTGTCCTTATGAAGTTGAGAGTTCACAATTATATATCTTTATTTCCTTTAGATACGATACACATATTTTTTCTTTTAAAGTCAAGGACTTAATTGGTATTATTATTTTAAAATGAAATTACCAATTAAGTCCTTGACTTTAAAAGAAAAAATATGTGTATCGTATCTAAAGGTACATTCTGAAACATCCTTCAGGTTGAATATTCTACCTGTTCATTTCTTAGGTAGAATGTACACAAGAACAGTGTACCTTTTACTTAAAATTGATGGTATTTAGCCAGACTATATGACTTTATTTTAGCTATTGGAAAAAGACAAAAATCACAGGAAATTTATTTAGAGATCGAATTGGCTTTTATTTGTGATTCACACATTTAGGCAGCCTCCATTCTACAAAACAGAATGAAAGTTCCCAATGAGTAGTGGCAGAACGGTGGGTTTTGTAAGGTAGGAATAAGGAAACCAAATAATAAGAAAAAGACTAATTAGTTAACATCAAGTTACTTTTTTTCTAAATGCTAAAGCAGAAAGGAC